GCATGCTTCAATGAATACACCACCTTTTTTTGTTGTTGGGATTCAATATAAAAGTTCACCGATACTAATTATCAGACAAGCTTTAAATGACATTCAAGTTCAGTAAAAAGTTGATTCCATGCTCTATGGATAAGCCTTAAGCCAAATAGATGGCTTTGCCCTTCTGATTTTTTGCATACTATTATGGTTATGACCCATGGGGTATTTTGGCCAGAAAACTGACTCATTAGTCTGACCTGCCTCAAAATACGACCATCACAGCGCTGAAAGCTTCACACTGGGAACACTTAGCATTGCAGATGAACATTTTTCAGTGCCTGGGGTACTTTGTGCATCATTCACTTCTATTTAGCTACTTGAAGGCTTCCCATATCCATTCAACTGTACACTTGCTACAAGTAGGGCTAGAGCTCAGAATGTATCATTACTTTTCATGGAAACAATACCAGTTCATAAAAGCAAGACTGCTGTGCCTTCGGTTTCTGAAATGAGGCATGTACATTCCATGTCCCTAAAAAGTAATTCCAGGGATCAACAGAAGCTCCTTGCTTTTTAAGGAATAACCTTTACATTTATTAGTGAAATACTACTTTGAAAGAACTGACAACTACCAAAAAAATACTGGTTTTGGATACAGCTATGTCCTGTAACTACATGAAAGGTTTATACTTTGAAATCAGTGAACATTTAGTATGCCTGTCAGATGAACAGATTCCTGCTCTGAAATACCTGCTAAGTAAATGAGTTATAGCAGCACGTGACACAGGACCATCACCTAATGCAAGACATCACTTGCTTAAAAATAAGTACACATACTTGTCAATCATGGTTAAATTTATCATAGATTAAAAAGAGACATAGAGGATAAACAGGAATGTGATTGTGTGCCCAAGAAGCAATATGGATGATGCACAACTGCAAGTAAGGTTCTTAAGTCTTGCATCACCCAGTATCAGAAACGGGATGTAAAGTGTCACAATGGAAGCACAAAGCATCTTAAGGATGTGATAAGCTTATCTCAGATGCTTTCAAACCATTTTACTGACAGGTGAGGAAGCAGAGACAGCTCATGCCATTACTCATCAATGGAAGATGAAACATCTTAAACAAGAGCTACAGTCATTGAAAGAGGAAGTCAAGGAAGTTCAGAACACTACTAGTTCAGGGTATGTAGAACTGAACTATTCAAGTCTTTAGACCTGTTGCTCAAGCCTCTTCTCACTGCAGCATCCCAACACTTTCTTAGGAAAAAAACCTGAGAGGTGCCTGGTACACAGGTGATCTGGCACTGAGAACAGCTTTTTCTGTTTCTGGAAGTTTTTCATTTTTATTTAAATACAAGTTACTGTTTCTGCTGGACACTGAACTATTGGGAAACACCATCTGATAAAACACTGACATCTTCTGTTAGCGCTTAAGGTCTCTTTTGATGGAGAGCATAGAAAAAAGTCCTGATATAAAATTTATATAAAATATAAATTACCTGATATAAATTATATCAGGTAGCAATATATCTTTGATACAGACCACAGAGCTCCACTGATTAATTCCTTTTAAGCAGCAACAGAAGTTTCTGTGTGCTCTTTTCCTAAATTATTGCAGCTCAAATTTAAATGAGCTAAGGCATATCCTTTTACCTCTTCATATTGAAGGTCACTTCATCCACTTCTTCTGCCAGAATACATGCCATCACATTTCAAAGACATTTGTTCTTGGCATTGTTCAAACTGTTGTATTGTTCTATAAACAATACCAATCATAATCACTTCTTGGTGAAGAGCTGTAAAACCGTAGCTTGGATACCAGTAAAACATTTGCTAAAGCATTACAGATCATGCAAACATCTCAGCAGGATAAGCTACCTTTACCTTACATTACTGCATTTAAACTGCATGACACATATGTTTTTAAGAAGCTTGGGTGTTTCGTAAGATTCAGGGGGTGAATGATTCTCAAACCAGCTGTCTCAATTTTCACCCCAAAGAAAGGAGTTCAAAAATCTACTTGCAAATTGCATCTGTACACACATATTGCATGTAAAGGGAGGCATCACCAGCAGTTACAGACCAATAAACACAGAGTAAACAGAAACAAATCTAATTTTTTAGGAAGGAGGGAGTAGGTACATAGAAACAAAAAATGTGACCATGAGTGGGTAAGGAGCTACGCAAGCAGCTTACTTCCCACCAGGCCTATAAAGCGCAGCACTCCCAAAACAGAAGTTGGTTGAAGTCCTATGGCCAACTTCTCTGGAAAGAAAGTCGGTCCTTCTGAAACAAGAGAAGAGGTAACTGTCAACTGCATCATATCACTTTCATTTTTCCCATGGGGAAACTAGTAAAAACAATGAAATTTCAAATGTTATTTCAAAGAAGAATTTTGAGCATTCTCCGGTAAAAGCCAGCAGTAGGCTGAGATGCCTGTTTCAGGAATAATACACATTTTTCAATGTTCCCCACTTTCAAGATCTTTTTTTTTTTTTTTTTCCCCACAGGCAGCATGAACAATTCCTGACACAGAAGAATGTAAAATAAACCAATAATATAGGCTACTGTCACAGAAGTTATACAGGGTTGGACAGTGGAAAGGAGGTGGTGGAGTCGCCGTCCCTGGAGGTGTTTGGGGAACTTAGATGTGCTAAAGAACATGGTCTAGTGGGGTGATGTTGGTGGTAGGTGCACGGTTTAACTGGACAATCTTGAAGATCTATTTCAACCTTCAAGATAATACCATTCTAAGTTGGTATTATAAGAAATGGGGACTTAAGAGTTCTAGAGAATTACGGTCACTTTGTCGTTTGTCGACAGGAATAGCAAAAAGCACTGTGTGAAGTTTAAGGAATCCAACTCACACCTGATGGACTACTGTGAATATGACAACACTTGCGAAGGAGGGATTGCAGCCTTTCCTGCTTCTAAGTGCTAGTCATGGGTCAGCAGACACACAGGAACAAAGCAGCAATTATTAGAAAATGATGGCCACTAGTGCCCATATTGCATACAATTCTTATTGATTACTACGTCTAAGAGGCCAAATTAATCCTGACCACAGGCCTCAGTCAGGAATTTGCATTTCCACTCCAATCCTCACACTTAGTACTTTCCTATTTCTGTATTCTACTGTGACACTGATCTACTCTAAGATCATGATTGTACTTAATTGATTGCTGCTTACAGGCCACTTTGAGATGGGAAGGAAGTAGGAGTACATTACATTTGCAGCGAGCAAACAATTCTTATGTATAAAGAATTATCAGTGATTCTAGCACCCAAGTTTTCTTCTGTTTAAAAACTACAAGAAAAATGACTGGGGAGGTAAGTGATCTACAAAAACCCTACACGCATAAATCATCATCACAAACAGTCTGAGTGTGTATGAAAATCTATGCCCAACCATCCCCCCCAAAAAACCCTGACTATAATTACCCATTTACTAGCTCTTGAATTAGGGCACTTTCATAAAAATACTGCACTTCACCTAATGAAGGCTATCTGTACTGATGTGAGTCACTAAGCAAGCACTGCAAAAAGTTTTGACAGCCACCCTACCTCCCTTCAAGTGGTACTGCCTGAGGCACAAATACTTTTATTTGTGGTACATGGCTGCCACCTCCTGGCCATTTTGACACATACACTATCAACTACTGAATTAGAGTATTTTTCACGGAGACAGCAATAAATCTACAAGCTGAAGGATGTTATCTTTAGAAGTTCTCTGTTACCAAATGAAAAAAGAATATGCAGTACCACACAAATACTTCATGCCTGACAGGTGTAAGTATGCGACAGGCGAGGTCTTCCACTGTTGCCAGAAGTGCCTGAAGTACACCCAACCCTGCTTCTGAAGTTTGACCACAAGCCTCAGAATTCATTTCCTCCCAGCCTGCTTCACTTCCTCAGGTTAACACATCAGAACCCCGAGGACAGAAGCCATCACTCGACCTCAACTACCAGATACAGCTACAAGAAATGAACACATTTTGTAATGGACACATGCTACACATCCCATGCAGATGTTTAGAGATGTTTATTTCAGTAGATTTAAACAATCCATTAGTTCTAAGCCTAGCCTCTGATGAAGAACTTTTTTGAGAGTTACCAAATCCTTCTAGCTTTACACAATACCTCACAGTCTGTGCTCTAGAAAATCACATGTAGGGAAGTCAAGTGAAGAGCCCAAGTCTGAGTAGTCAGAACACTTGACTTGTACAGGATTAGCTCACCAACTGTCCAAAGTTGTGTTCCCTGTGAAGTGGCCCAGAGATAAGCAGAGACAGAGTCCCTGGGGAGCCAATGGGACCTATATTTTTAGGGGCAGAAAAGAGATAGGAAGAAGTGGGCTAATACAAGCTTCTAGTAGTTCAACATGGCCTACTAAGAGCTAAAAACCCAGTGGTCTGGCCAATGGAGGGAGAATCACACTCCTCAGACTAGGAGACTGTCAGGATTGCGTACAGAACAAACCTTCACATAGTAAAGCATCATTCTTTTCTATGATGCCCATGACAGCTTTTTTTTCCTTCAGAATCCCCACATTCTTAAGGAAAAAGACTGAACAGACTTCTTGAAGTCCACCAAATTTATGGGAATTAAATCTGTACTTCTTGCCAAGGTAACCTAGGTTCAATGCAGCAAGCTGCAAGTTATTACAAAGCCAAGCACAGCGGATATATTCCAGTAGTAATCAAGACAGAATGTCTGCATATCAGACAAGGATAAATATGCAATAAAATACCAGTTCTGCAGTAATAGCTTTTCACCCTAGATGGCCCACTAGACCACTACCACTAGATGGCATCTGCCACTAGATGGCATCTGCATTCTAGATCAATTTTCGCAAACAACTACATCAACTGGTTTGGCTCCTTTACATAATTGCTTTTATATTCTTATATAGCATTAGTATAAACTAGATTGAAGGATGTCTTTTCACCCTAGATGGTAAAGGCAGGGCAAGACAAAATCTTCTAAGACTAGTATACCAGTTTTTTGTTGTTGTACCTTTAGGTAAGAATCCCGAGAAGGAAAGACAGAAGGTACTTTCTTTTCATCCTATCTTCAACAGGATGGAGCATCTGGTCTCACAGTCCATTCTCTTCGTAAGATCTGATTTTCAAGATATCTGGTTAAATTAAGGTAATCAAGATGTCCATAATTCTCTTAATGTATTCCCCTTCCCAGCATTTCACAGAAATTATGCATCCTCTCTCTGTGGGAGTTACACTAAGGAATAGTGAGCCGAAGGATATATATAGAAAATATACTGAGGGTAATTGAAACTTGCTGATTTAGAGATGCCCAGAAATTCAAGCTGGATAACTGCAGAAATGCTGCTAGGAAGTATCCAGGGGGAACAATGTGAAATTCTTATAAGTACTTCATTACAGTTTGCTGGGACTTCAAAGCAAAATGATGGAAAAAACATTACACTGGAAAATATTTACTTTCCAAGGTTAACATCTTTTGCATTTTAGCAAGGTTGTGTGCTCCTCTGCTTCACATCATGAGCTGCACCACTTCGTTCACAACATACCTTTTCTCCCTAGCTAACCATTCTAGAGTGTTCTCTTGCCCCTCTTAACGCAACATGAGCAGGTAGTACTATCAAAGTGAGAAAAAAAATCACCAACTTAATTATTCTGCTCTTTGCAAACATAATTTACTTTTCTTTTTTTAATAAGCTACCTATAAGACTAGAAAACAAATCCTGCCTATTTGCTTTCCTTCCTGTATTTGACAGTAACTCAGATGAAGTTAGAACACTGAAACTTACTATCCCGGCACATCTATCATATTTCAACAGGATTTTCAAGTGATGCTTGTTTCTAGAGCTCTCCATAGGAACACTGTCCTATTCCAGTCTTTAAGAAAACTAACCTCCACCTGAAGATACAGAATAGCTTTTGCTGATTTTTATATATGTATTTTTTTTTCCAGCAGCTGGAACTAGTTCACACCTGCTTTCTCATAAGGCTGCTCCCAAAATCAGAGTTTGCAGTAAGCTAAACATGAAGCTTTATCTGCAGCTAATTGTTAAAACAGCAGAAAAGCAGCAGGAAAGGGAATGTGCTAGGCCACAGACATTGCTTCAAGACAGAAACAGAGTCTTCCTTAGAAAAGATTACTCTAATTACATACTGGCAAGGGCTTCTGGAACACTTATTTTGAACTACAGTTTCATCCTTATACCCTGGGACATACCGACACAGGAATAAATTTGGTGGAGAACAGAATGAAACCCTGTCCTTGTTAACAATTAACATGTTAAAATAAGTAACATTAATAATAATAACACCTCAACAAGGCACGCTGAGGTACAGAACAAGTAACCAGACAGCTTTGTACATCTCCCAGTGACTTGAGGTGTCTTCAAAATGATGCTCAAGCACTGCCAGTTCCAGAAATCCATGGCAGATGAGAACCTAGCAGAGCCATTATAAACACTTACCCTCATTTACAGCTTGTTATTTACTGTCCCAACACTGACTGTCATGTGGTTTTACAGTGTTCAGTCCAGTATGTTTTGAGGTTCCTTCAGCAGCGATCATCAGATACAAGCTGTAAGAATGCTTAGGTATAAACTCAAAAGTTATACATGCAGCCACCCGGTTAAGATACTGTCATCAAAATCTTGGTCAGCTTTTGCAATAAAGCAAACAAATTCAGTTTATAAGATAAGTGTACAGACACACTGAGAGTAGGTTTGAAAATCGCTACTGCTAATTAACAGAAGCAAACCAATTACAGCAGAGGAAAAGGTATCCAGGACTATGCCTTGACATTTCAAGCTTGGCACTGATTCTTCGAGCTGTTTTTTTTCCCCTACCGATAAGGAGGACTGAGCACAGTATTCAGTTCTTCTAACAGTCCGGACTCTTCAGAGATGCAAAAAAGTAGAATTTCAGTGTGCTCCAAAACATGAACTTGAGCTCAATTCTGACTTGCCTAAGAGAACTACGCATCCCTGTAATGCATATTAGCCCGTGTTGACTCAGACATCCAACATGTTGTGCTGTAGTTACCTCTGCTCTCTCGCCCTTGACTTCTCACCAGTCTATGTGAAGCTCAATGCTCATACTTATCCCCATAAAAATGAGACATGCCAAATGCAAGTCAAGTTACAATTCATGCAATTTGAAAGCAACACAATACAGACAGTATCATTTTGCTTCTGTGCTTTGCTAAGCTGTAATGCTAACTGCCAAGTCTATATAAGATGTCTTTCTCTTCCACAAACATGGCAGCAAGGAACACTCTAGACACACCAGCCACCGATATAACACTAACAGTTTGTGAAGCAGAAGTGAAACACCAGTAATAAAGGCCAGGCTTTTACAACTACTAGCTATGTAAGCCTCTACAGAGGGTACCCTTTTTTTTTATTAACCTTTGAGCTTTACACCAAAGGCGAAGCACAGGATATCTGTGTTCAGAATATAAGTTTTCTAGAATTCCAGCTATCCAAAACTGAGTAGCAGAAATGTCATTTAAATATATTTCCATTATTACAGAAATAAAAATGTGTCTATCAGCCTTTAGATACCGACTGGCTCCAGTAATTTCAGCTCACAGCTTGCACAGTCGGATGGGGCCCTGGGCAGCCCAGTCTAGTATTAAATGTGGAGGTTGGTGGCCCTGTCTGTAGCTGGGGGGGGGGGGGGAGGTTTGAAGATTCATGATCCTTGAGGTCCCTTCCAACCTTGGCCATTCTGTGATCCTCTGATAGCAATATCCTCACAGACTTATATCATAAGGCAAGCCACAAACAGGATCTCTTCTTATAAAGAGCATCTTACTGCTCATCAGCTCCCATTTCTATTATTTGGCAGTAATGCAGCATACGACTCCACAGTCCCTAGCAATTCCCAGTGTCAACTACACAGACAAGCAGGATCTTTATCTTAAAACAACCTTTAAACAGGGGTGTAGCATACTAACAGTAACTTTCTTCCTCAAGTCTGAATACTTTCCAGACATAGTTTCCAGAAAAATAAGAAAAAAAGCCAATGCATTGATACCACAAATATACCTACTAAGAGAACATCCTCCTGTAACTTCCCAGATCACTGATGTTGCTCTACTAAGCAGCACGTTAGAACTGTACATATGATGCTTACGTGGAAAAAGACACCCAGCAATTAATCCATCAGCAATTTCCATGGAACTGTTTTTTTGAGTCCACATTGTTCGGGCAGTCTGAGTCTCCTGGACATTGATCAAGGTAATTAAAAGTTGCAGACAGCAGGGAAATTTCTTACTTCTCTCCCAGCCCCCAACTCAACAATCCCAACTACCTTTGCTCTATACCCTAGAGAATATTCATGCAAGAGAAGTTCCCACTGAAGGCACAAGATTGTTTCTCTAGCTTGCAGACAAAGCAATTGCAGACCCTATTTCTGAAAACACCAATCTTTAAAAAGCATCTCATTGTACTGAACTCTTGAATTTATGAGCAATACTCATTTCACCCTGAATAGACTTTAAAAATACTGTCAGCTGGAATGCTGCCCAAGGAATGGGCTATGCCACTCAAAAGCAGCCCTTGCTCTCACCCCCAGCTTTCTGGTCAGTTCCCTTCTGGCACAACTTGCTGACTGTTTCATACCTCAAAGGCTCCGTATGATCAGAAAACAAGATCTCACTGATACTTCATGACAGCTGACAGTAAAACATTTTCATGAGCTGTTTACTTGTACCAACAGTATCACAGCATCAGTGTTTTCCATTATAGACTCTTCCCTGTAACAAGAATTATACTGTTAGTTTACTCACTAGTATATATGCTGTTAGAGTGTCAGTATTATGTAGCATTAATAAGCCATTCATCACTTTTTTGGACTTTCAAAGGGATTACAGAAGTGACTAAGATCCATGTTTGTCCAGTATTGTCTCTCTCTTGAAACTCAAGCCCCCAAATCTTTGACAGTTCCGAAGACCAGAAACTGGCTCAGGTATTGCTTCAAAATATCACTGCTATACTTTGCAGCACAGTATTTTAAGTCAAACTTGCCAATCACATCTTATATCACATCTTAATTCCAGTAAGAACTGCATATGCTGTTCTTAGTTGCTGATTCGACATGATTCAATTAAACACCTGAAGTTATAAAGAGCTCCTGGCTTCTGGGCTGTCTCAATTATTTCAAAGAACATAGTTTCAGGCCCTCATTTCCAGAATAAAATTTTTACAGTTGTAAAAATGCTCAAGATCTACATGAGCAATGCACATGAAAGCAGAAATAGGATTGTAAGTTTTGTTCTGATGTTCCTGACTTGCTTCCAGTATGGAAACCTCAACCCTATCTCTAATGATCAACATATTAAATCCTGTAAGTTTTCTCCCCATACAGACTGAAAGATGTCAGCAGACATCCCAGGCATATGGTGTGGAAAAAGCATTCAAACTCTTGGCCAGTGATTGCTAGCATATAAAGCAAGCAATTCTTTCAGGATAATACCTCTAGATATGGCAACAGTTTAACAAGATAAGTATTTCTTATTTCTTTAGGATACTTCATAAGAAAATTATACAGCACAGATGCTGCTACAAGAGGAACAAGTGAGCATGTCAGGTACTCACATAAATGGAGCCATATATACCTAGTCTTTTCATGATACAGAAGATATTATTCCAGAAACTAAGGAAAAAGACAGAAAAGTTAATTCAGTTGATGGGTAACGTTCTGGAAAAATGCTGGCAAAAAACAGCATTTTCAAAACTTGCAAACCTAAATCTCAAGTAAGCAATGACTTCAGAGCATGAAGTTACCTCATCAAGGCTTAAGGAACAGATCTGAATTACCTCATCACACACCAACACTGCATTCACTCACTCTCCTGTCATCAGTGACTTTCAAAAGAAACGTCTGAGCAGTAATGCATGTAATCTACCTCTATATTTTATACTGCATTAAACCGGTGCTTGCTTCAAGACATGGTAACTTAAACCACTGTTCAATAACAGACCAATCCAATATACATCAGCAATGTGTATGCTGCATTAAAAAAAAATTCCACACTTAAGAGCAAATAGTAGTAAAATAACCAGACAGACTTCATTCAAATGAATTAGACAACTTTTACTAAATGAAAAAACTACATTTAAAATATGCATTTAAAACAAAAATGGAATTAGAAAAGACTTAAATCCATTTTGAAGAACTTGCTCACTGTGTCAGAAAGCAATATAACTCTTGCATTATATAATGTGCCAGTTCATAAAATGCAAGTTACCAGAATTCTCAATTTAACGTTTTCAAAGACAATACTGAAGTCGAGATTTTCACATCTACTGATGCACACTTAGAATGGTATAAATCTGAAGCCTTCCCCCAAAGAATCTTACAAATTCAACAATATTCAGTAAAAGCTTTTGTGTTTATATCCAATAAGTATTGCATCCTAAAGCATCACAGATCTGTGCCTTTCGTTTATCCCTCTATACTTTGTATCTTTTCTATATCTTGCCATTTACCAATGTTTACCCCTTCGAGAAAGGAGAGAACTGAAAAGAAATACTGCATAACTCTCAATCATGTACAGAAATTATTGCTACTATAGTACACTACAAAGCAGAAGTCTATACAATAGTATATGAAATTTGATCATGAAAATCCAAAGGATAAAATCTTGAGTGACATAAGCCTTACAATCATGTTGGACATTCATTTAGCAGTTTTAGCTCACTACTAGTAAGCTGGCCTATTGTCCACTGGTGAACATCCATTTAAATACACCCTCTTATGAAAAAGAATGTCAGCTTTCAAAGGCTTAGCAAATAAGGATCTTCATGTTCTGTGGAACTACGTAAAATGAATTCTGATACAGGTAGGGAGTTACCAGTTACCTGGAAGCTAAGCATGCCAAAGGTGTTTCATGCTAATAAAACTAAAGCCAAGGTACCACATAATCAAGTTACCAACTAATAGGCAATACCATTTTTGTCCTAAGTTAAATGATGTGCCATAGCACAGTGTAATGTCAATAATTTAAAACAGCGTAGTGTACAAATTAATCGTGTGGCAGTTTAAGTTAAAAAGTCAAGGCAGGTTTTCCTATCTCAACTTACGTTGGCTGTCAAGCTGTCCAGTCTGGGCATGTCGGTAATAATTTGCCTTTTAATCACTACCATACTCTCAACCTTGCATTATAATGGGGCACATATTTGAGCGGCACTACTATGAATAACACGAGGATAGAGGGAGGATAAGAGACCAACGGATCTTCTAATTCCCTTCCATATTTCAATTTCAAAGAGAGCCAGGGAATATGACCAGATACCATATTCGCATCATTCTAGCTACAAAATAACCAAAGTAAAAGCAATCAAGCAACAATAAGACCACATTACACAAATGGAACATCATGCTCTCATCTGGTTTAACTATCACATCAAGTTTTAACTGGGATGTTGGTCAACTTTAAAAACTGTGGTAAGTGTGAATATGCAGTTGCAATAGGTTTTTTAATTTTTTATTTTATTTTTTACTCTATGCTGGATATTAGAAGTTGGAGCTATACTTGTTACAATACAGTGTCGCACATCTTTCTACTAGAAAAATTAATAAAGATCCTTTACCCGTCTCTTTAAGTTAAACGTGTGACATCATAAAGGGTGTCAAATGGCTGGATGGTTTTACAGTGCACACTTATTATATACTGTAATATGGAGTTTTGTCCTTGACAGATCTGATGGTTTTTTACATTATTCCTTTCTTCACCTCTTCTTCGGTGGATTAGCTGTGCGAGGTGGAGTGACTGGACGCCCAGAATTCAGTCCACCATACTGGTACTTGGCTTTCTTTTCAGATGGCTTCAATATCTTAGAGAAAATAAAGAAGTTCTTTTCAGTCAGTGACAGCTGAGAACATTTCAAATACCCTTAAGTCAATGTGAGGCCTCATTCAGAAAGAACAGGGTGGGGGAGGACTAGAAATCACAACACAACCGTACAAGTTCCTGAATCCTACAGACAACAGCACTAAGAAAACTGTTTCTAACCTCTAGTTCCACCATTTTACTGTGGTGGAAGGGAGAAAAGAAAAGGAGCTCAAAATATTGCATCCAAGGAGGAGCAAGGAATAAAATTTGAGCAGAATAACCGCACTAAATGAGTGCCATCCACCCAATTGTGGATGATAAACAAATTACTCAAATAACATTGAAATGAGCATGGAAACAGAGGCAACAACAAATACTAACACCTCACACACAGTCCAACACTTAAAGGAACACTGAATATACAAATGCATCATACCTGAAAGGAACACATCAGAGTTTCGTCCACACTCATCATGCCACCTGCATTGTCAAACTCTCCACAATAATTTGGAGCTGAGAATAAGGTGACCAACTGCCGTTTAGCAAAGAATTCATATCCATCTTCAACCACCTGTCAACATCATAAAAATTAATATAGCTCACAAAAACCAAAAGATACATTTGGAAGAAAAAGGCAAGTTTTAAGGCAAACAGTCCTTCTACTGAAGACACAAGAATTCAGCAAAAATGTATTTTATCTCTGTCTTTAAAGAGGACAGATTCACTCTATCTGAACAGTGAGTGCCAAATCAAGTAGATTTAATTGTCTGACTATCCTAATATTAGATATGCATCAGTTTCACTGTTGATATCATTGTACTTGGAAGTCAGTTTACACACTGTCAGTTTAAGGAATTCCAGTGTTTTGTTTATATGCAAACTTGGATACATTTGACCTAAGGGCTCAGAGCACAAAAGATCCACATATCATCTTAACTGCAACGGTAACCATGAAGTTTCACTTGCAGTACAGTGATGGTCCTACAAAACTTCAGAGTAGCCAAGTACAGGCTTCTGACAACTTTGATGGTTTAAAAGCAAGCTGGTTCTGCTGTGCTTTCTCTAAGAGCACAAAACACTCTTAAAATACTGCAAAGTAGCACAATACATCAGCTAAGGATATTCCCACTTCCCTAGAATAGAACCTTAACATAATAGACTGAAAGTGATACACAACAGAAAACTGCAGACTTCAGTCGAACGCCAGTCTTTTGAAAGATGTCATACTTTTATAAAGAGCTGAAGCATCTGTATGAATACAAAGATACTAATGGTAATCATTGAGCAGTTGAGACATCTCAGCAAATGTTCGACACACTAATATTTTCTAGTGTTTTTAGCAGTAAAACCCTAAGAATGAAAGTGTTCTGACAGAGCATTTGAGTTTAACTGTAACAAAATTAAAAACCTATTTTTCCTTCACAGGACGCCAGAGCTTTTAAGATCAACTAAATAATAAAACTGGAACATTACACACAAAATTGAAACCCAATGCCCACCTAAGCAGGACATTTGCTTAAAATCACTTCCTAAAAATTGCAAACAAATAGCCTAAAGATTGTCCATGCCTAAACCAGTTTTGTTTTCTGCGTATTTCAGCAAAACAAGCCTATGCCAAAGTACTCTATAACTAAATTGAAGGCAAAGTTTATGTCCAGACCTGTTTGTAGAAATGTT